GCTGTGCAGCAGAACCGTGCTCCCTAACCAGCACGGGAAGGGGAGAGAGGGCTCGTGGCCGGGACGGATTCCTCCACTGAAAGCTTCAGGCGTAAAGGTTGAAAGTTGTTTGCAGTTGCAAGTAATTGAAAATAGGGGTTCTTAATGGAAAACCTAAACTATGAGCATCACTGGTACTCCACCTTTAATAACTTTAATGACCTGTATGTCATAATGAAGAATGCTGAACAAACATCTCCATAACCTCATTCGTTAAGAGACAAATCTTTCAGTATCTAATATTATGTCTTAAAGTCAAGTAAACAGTACATTTTGGTGCAAACAGACTGAGTTATGGAATTACTTACACTGTAGGGACATCACTGTGGGTGTGTACGTGTGACACAAAGGAGCAGACAGATGATGAAGTTGACAGCGTTGCTGACCAGCCTGCCTAGAGCCTCAAAACCATTATGGACCAGGGCATGAGGGAGAGCTGTATAAACACTGAACAACTGGGCACCATAGCTAGAAATTTATAATTGGGAGGGGATAAGAGATCCCTTCAGAAGGAAGCAAGCAGTGGGTCTCAGAGAGACTATATAAACCACTTTCTCTGACCTTAGAGAAACAAAAATCCCGATATGGAGCTAGCAGAGGGAGGAAAATAGAAACAAGTGGGAATATTTAGAGTGAGGTTTCTCTTTCAGTTCCCTTGTGCTCTATTTTTGTTCCTCGTATTGCACTGGAGGACTGGCAGTCACTGGGAGACCACAGCACACAGGCACAGCCCATCCGCAAATGCTTCGCTGGTACCGAGCTGCTCTTGTTGGCAGCTCAAGTTTGGCTGGACATTGCTGTCCTTGAGGACCCTGCTCCTCTATAGCTTTCTTTTCTAATTTTCTTTATTTTGTATTGGGTTTGTACCTCACTGGACATTGGGAAAAAATGCTCAATAATCTGGATTAGGGCAAATTCTGCTCTGCTTTTACTAGCCACTCCCTTTGCAATGGATGACCTAAAGAGATGCAGTGACCTTGTCCGTTCTGACCCAGATATTTCTGGTGTTACAACAGTCAGAAAGTTCCTGTGTGAAGAGATGATTATTACAAAGCTTTGTAATTGCCACTGTGGTGCTGAATGTTTTTCTGAATCATTGTTTCATGTCTGATAGCGTAGGTGGTGTGTTTGAGAGATCTCCTGGTGTGTGCTGTGACACTTCACTGAGCAAAGGTAGATGCCAGTGAACTCAGCTGGAAGAGGATTTGGGTTGCCACCTGTCCTCTAGCAGTACTTAGAAGCCATCCCAATTCAACGTCCAAAGTCCTGGAGCTTGGAGCCTCCTATGGTGGACTCCAGGGTGGTGTGTGGAGGTAGCTCTTCGGTGCTGTCCTGTGCCAAAGGGCTGGTGTTAGTCACGTCATCCGCCAAGCTCAGTGTCACGGTAAGGAAAGTGGCTTCTCAGCTCTGTGACGTGGTGACTCTGCTGTGGGGCCGGTCCTGAGGTGGTGGTGTCCCTCCAGGCAGCGAATGGGGTTCACGTGTTTGAAAGGTTTGTTCACAGACTCGCTCAGGGAAGAGCTAGCTCCTCCTGTGGTTCCTTTGTGAGCTTAAAAATTTGTAAATAAAATAACCACATTTAGCTAAAACCAGACAGCAGAATGACACTACTTTTCTTTTTCTTCAGCTTGGTGAGGAAAAAAGAAATAAAATAATCAAGTCAGTGTTTTACATAAGGTAATTGGAAGAATGAAATCCAGATTAAATTTAAACTCCAGTTTATTACAGGTGCCCTGCAGCACCTTTTTACCTAATGAGCAGAACAAGCTTCTGCTTTTTCCAAGTGCTGCCGTAAACCACATGATTTCCTTAGGTAAAAGCTTTGGCCAAGATCTCCATAACGCGTGTACTCCAAGCCAGAAGCTAAAACACCGAGGAGTTTTTTGAGTCCTTCTGATGTTGAAAAGCGAAGCCACAGATTGAGTTAACTCTGGATGTGGGTTTATACCTTCAACTTCGACAGCTTACGGTGGCAGCACTTGTGTACTTTAGGCTGTGGGCTCAGTGGTCGTGCTTCGGGGAGTTAAAATGGGTGGCTTGAAGCTGGTAATGGTGAAGACCTTCCGAAGGATGTTGCTGGCCAAGCTGTTTGATCTGGTTTTTGGCCAAGCATGTGAATGGATGCAGGTTCCAGCCCGCTATATTATTGCAAATAAACTGGGGACAGTTAATTTGTGCCCAGCTGCCCACATAAGCCTCGTCAGTGCTAACTTCGGCCGGCCAGTTTTAATTTGCTGCGGTGTGTCTGCCAGAGCATTGCAGGAGGGTGAGAGGCAGGGAGGATATTTTCCCCGATGACTGCTGTTGACATTTGCAGAATAGAAGTGAAGTCAGCCACTTATTTGTTCAAATGTTTTAGTGCCTGTAGTGGTTCTGAGCCAGCCGGGATTGCTCAGTGCCTCAAGCCCGCAGGGAGCTTCCCAGCTGCAGCGTGGGGAGAGTTGATCAAGCTGTGCTGGTGTTTGACTTTGTTTCTTAGACCAGGGACATCAGTGAGATAGAAATGCTTGGTCTTGTACAGTTTGGGGAAGCAAATGGGAAGGTGTTCTGTTCTTTGCTGTCCCCACAAAAAAAGGAAATAATTAAGGAAATGTTCATATACACACACAAGCTTGGGGAAGCTGTGACATGGGAAAGGGCTGATGGCTTTGTTTATTGAGGGCATCCTCCAGCTTTGATTTTTCACTAGTGGCAGCTACTGCAGAAGCAAGACAAGATTTTTAGTCTTCGCCCCAAAAATCTTCAGGGTAGGGGTGCATGAAGGCTCACGTTTATTTCTTTTAGTATTGCTGCGTCGGAGTGACATGGTTGCCGGTGGTTCTGAAAAGTAGCTCCTCTCTGGATGGATCCAGGCTCTGTGTCCAATAGCAATGTAAATAACTTCCCTTTCCTAGAAGTGCGGTCATGGGCTTGATGTTTACAGGACTGAGCGTAACCTGCATTTTATTTCAGCAGCCTGATGCATGCTGGCACCTGAAAACATTACCAGGGTGTGAACGTGGGTTGTGGAGGCACCTGAGAGAAAGAGAGGATTGAGTGAGCTGTGCTGTGAAGAACAGGAGCAGACATGGACATGAGCAACAAGCGTGAGCTGACACCGAGAAGAAATCAGGAGAGATTTGAGAAAATTGCGACAGAAAAGTTATGGCGGAAGTTACTGTAGAAGAGAGGAGGTGAAGTGGAACGGGGGAGAGAAGCGAGACAAGGAGGAGGAAGCAATTGCTATGTGCAGTTAATAGAGGCAGTGAAGAGAGTTTTAATTGGAAACCTGTTGTCATTAACCACGGTTCTGCTCCCTTGCATTTCAGGAATGCATGTGGCAGGTAGTTTTCCTTTTGGCTGTTGCGCTGCTGATGTAGAGTGTGCTGGGATTCGAGCCAAGCGGCAGATCTGCATTTGTGTTTACCAGGCCCTGCGCAAGCATGTTAATAATGTCATTTGTCACGGGAGATGGCACTACAAACTGATTTCAGATTTTTCTGTAGCAGACGGGGAATGTGTGCTGCTTCTGCCCCGTCTAAAGCTGCTCATTTTAACTCTTCAAGCATGAGCTCTTGTCACCTGGCAGGAAGACGTTGACCCTAGTTGGTGCTGCAGGGAGACCTTGACCTCGTTGGTATGACCCGTGGAGGCTCCTTCTAAATCCCCTGGGGGACTTTCTAAGTAAGGAAGGGGCGAATCTGCAGCCTGTACATTCTTTATGTCTGGAAGGATGAAAAACAGACATGGAGGGTTCCTAAAATTCATTTGAACTTAGTTGTCCTTTGCTTCTTTGAGGGATACCAGTGCCATGTGCTGGAGAGCTGCTTAGGGTGCTGGTGCTCCTTCAGAGGCTCTTCTGAGCAAGTTGGGCAGGACTGCTGTGACCGAGATGCTATGGATGCAGCTTTCAGATCCCTTTGGCAACTAAAAAATGGGACAAGTGGAAAACAGTGGCTGCAATTTCAGTTAAAAATGACCGCTTCCCACCCCACAGAAAAACCCTCTGAATGTAGGAAGCACAGGAGTTGGGAGCTTGTGTGGGTGCGTGGTGAAGCCAAGCCCTGAGCAGTGGGAGCTGTGAGAGCACAAGTAAAGGCAGGAGTACCATGGCCGTGTGTTTCTGGTGGAAGTGCCTGGCTCTTTATCATCAAATCACAGAAGGGCTGGGGTTGGAAGGGACCTTCACAGACCATCCACTCCAACTGCCTGCCATGGGCAGGGACATCTTTTGTTAAGTCGGGTTGCTCGAAGCCCTGTCCAACTTGACTTTGAACCCTCCAAGGATGGGACATCCAGAGCTTCTCTGGGCAACCTGTCTCATTGCTTCACCATCCTCATCATAAAATGTCTCTTCAGTCTAACCCAGCCCTCTTGCACTTTAAAACTGTTGCCCCTTGTCCTGTCACTCCAGGCCCTGGTTAAAAGTGTCTCCCCATCTTTCCTGTAAGCCCCTTTTATATACCAAAAGACTGTGGTAAAGTCTTCCTGGAGCATTCTCTTCTCCAGGCTGAACACTCCCAGCTCTCTCAGCCTTTCTCTGTAGAAAGCTTTGTTTTTATCATGCAGATTTGTTTAGCTTGTGGGCACTAATATGGTTACGTGTGGCTTTTACCCATTGCAAGAGGCTTCCCTGACTATGTTCCCTCAACCAGTTTAGATCCCTTTGGAAGGGAATGGGATGGCAGACTCCCCTCGCTAGCCATGCGCAAGAACTGCTTTCGGATCATGCAAGGACAGTGAAGGGTAGAGGCAGATCTGTGCACGTCTGTTTTCTTCCTCCCAAATCGTGAGTGAGATTAGCGAGCAAGCCCTCGAGGCCAGCCTGGTGGTTTTGTGAGCTGTCAGTGCAGTTCAGCCACTGTCCAGAATGCGCGTGTTGATCCTTTGCAGAGGTCGCTGTAGTTTCTTCAGTGTGCAGCTGAGGGTACCACAGATGTAAAAATTATCCAACAGTTGTCTGTCTTCTTTTTCACTTGTAGGTTTATTCTTCAGTCTAAAGGAGTGATTCATAATCAGCTCTTAGAAAAACAGAGAATAGCTGAAGAGAAAATTAAGGAATTAGAGGTAAGTTTTTGGCAAGTAATGATGATGAAAATGGAACACTGAATGCTGTTTGCTACCTCACTTGTTTTTATCTGGTACTTTTCGTTGAGGATTGTAACTAGGTGAAATATAGCACTTGTTACAAGTAACCTACAAATAAATAATGTCATTTGGTTTCTTTGCTAGATCTATGACCCCAGTAGGAGTTGATTGTTTGCTCTCTGTCCTGACGTGAAAAAGGGAGGGTGAGGGATTCAAATAAGGTTATTAGGAATAAGGTTTATAATCAGTAAAAGGATGTTTGTGTTGTTATATGCAGCAGTACTATGGATATTACCAGTGTACTCTGGCTCAGGACAATTGCACAAATTCATGGAAGAGAAGTCCATTGAGAATTACCAAATATGTAGAAATGGCATCCTGCTCAGGAAGTCCCTGAGCTAAAAATGCCTGGAGGCTGGGAAAATAGGAGGAGGAAGTACCGTGTACGCCTGCCCTGTCCTTACGCTCTGCTCTTGGCATCTGCTTGTGGCTGCTGCTGAAGATCAGGCCTAGGGGGAGGTGGGACTTTGTTTTGACGATGTGGTCAGAGCCCTTCTGTGTTTTTATGTTTATCTGGTTGCAGTATTCAAGGCAGAAAAGAATATCTAGGAAATATAAAGCAGTATCTGCGCAAGTTCCAATGTTCAAACAAGTTATCTGGTGAATCTTGACTATCTTCTAGTTGCTACATGTACAGCTTACAGTTCTTTGGAGAAGATGTTCAAAATGTACTTTTCCAAGGCCGTTAGTGTATTTTTTTTTTCTTAATGACCCTATAGTACAAAACCCTGTTCCTTATTTTTTTGGAGAATGACAGAGAAAGCAGATTGATTTGTGTCAGGCTGCTTACCTGTTAGTGTTTTGGTGAAAGTCGGTGTGGAGACCGGCTCAGGAATGGGAAGCTGGTGCTCAAACCCATGCAGTTCTGTCTCTGTTGTCTCCTACTTACCATAAAGCAGAAGTAGAGTTTGTTTATTTTTATTTCCTTCTTAAAACTCAGCTTGCCCGGGGAGCTGTGGGGCAGGCACATCACCCTATGTTGTTGCCTGGAGTGTTTTCTGTGCTAGATACTAAGGGGGTGTTTTTCATTTCAGGCCATGAGAACTTTTTCTGCACAGGAAAGTTCTCTGTGGATAGGCTCCATACTGAAGGCGGTGTTAACGCAGACAAGGCATGGGTTATTTTTTATGATTGTGTGATAAAAGTCCTTGTATCCTGGCTACTCTGGAGCCATCCCAGGTGCCAGTGGCTTTACTTTGAGACAACCGTGCAACTGGGGTTGGAGAATTTCACAGCAGCACGTCTGGCTTTGGAAGGGGTTGGAGCGTGGTTGATGGCCTCTGCTTACAAGCTGCCCATCGGGACCCTTTCTGCTGTGTCCGTTGGGCTGTGGTCGGCTTTTCTGGCTACTGTGCCCTTCAGCTGTGCATTTCAGTTTCTTCCTGTTCCTGGTAGAGAATGATCTTACCTCCTGAACTTTTCGATCGGTGAGTTCAGCAGAATGGATGGAATTCCCCCCAAATTATAACCTTTGCCATTCTTACACAAAGCCTCAAAGCTGGCTGCTTTGCAGATCTGTTTTTCTGCCTCACAGCTCCCTGTTGCTTGAATCTCTGGTTATGGCCATCGATTGGAGTTCCCAGCTGAGTGACTGTCGCAAAAGGTGGTAGGAGTGGAAGGGCGGTTGCCACATGGGTTGGTTTTTCTTTTTAATCATCAATAGTAGAGCTTAGATTGCCAAAACTTTCAACAGCTTGTTTTAAGGGAACATTCAAGTCCATCTTTCAAATACTCTGCTTCCAGCTGGCTGGCCGTTTTGTGAAAATGATTTTCCCTAGGCTTGGGATTCCTCATGGAAGAGGTCAAGCTTTAAGACTGACAACTGCTGGAAACTGAGATTTCAGGGGAAATACCTGGGTCCAAGTCAGAGAGCACTTATCACAGGAGTAGGGGATTTTGTGTCCTGAAAACAAGTTGTGACAGAAGCAGGAAAGAATGTGAAACTTTGTGACCTTGTGGTCACAGTGGAAGACTGCATGGTTGTAAAATAAATATTAAACCAAGATGGGTTAAAACTTCGCTCCATCTGTTATTAAAACTGGAAGGATTTTAAAGCTTAGGTTTATATTTTACATTGTTAACTACCTTAGTACTTACTCACATTTCTCACTTGGCATAGTTGAATCAAGCTGGTCAGAGTAATCTTCCAGTATCCATACCTGGGGCTGATCTGGTTACTCATGTAACATGAACTTGAGCCAATTACGCCTTGCTGTTACGAACCTATTGCCAAGGGGTTGTGAAATGTGCATTTCTGATAGAAGCCTGAATTTGAGAAACGCTCTTGGTGCTAGCGTGGTGCTGTTTGCAGAGGAGTGCAGCACAGAAGGCTGGGTTTGCTCTTCTGTAAGTCCATCCAGCTGTGTAGCAAGGAGAGCTCCTGAGTGCTCTCTGTTCATGAAAACGTGGGCTTTAACCTGCTGCAGAGATGTGAGCTGGGTTTCCTGCCCTTGACAGCTGTCAGAGCGAACTCTGAAAACAGTGAGAGGTTTCACATCTGGTTTGAGAGCTTCTTTTCGCCTCCCTCTGGTAGCCTCCCTTGCCGTGCGTGACTGCAGTTTCTTTCCCTCACTCCCCTCTCTTGGGTTCCCCCACCTTTTTCAGAAAAAATCAATGTGATACCATTAGTTTGGTCGTCTCTGCTGCTCACTGTGTGGCAAAGGAGCGAGGAGAACCAGACCTGTCTTTGTACAGGGCTGTGAAAACAGGGCTTGGCTGGAAGATGTGTTGGATGTACTTAGGGAGAGGAACTGTGTTCTGAGGACACCGAAGGGGTCTGCACGTGTACGAGGAGGCCTGTCAGTTACTTGGCAGAAAAAGCAAGCTAGCTTTACCCTTCTTGTTAAAGCTAAGGTACGACTGTGAATATATATAAAAATATATTGCGATCTTAACTTTACAACTTGTATATAATCCTTTGGAATGCAAAGAGACTGCCCGGGCTTGCTGGCAAAATACCTGGGCTTGATTAAAGGCTCTGCCAGTGTGATTTACAAAAACCTGCTTGAATCTTGTGGAGATCAATGGCACAGGCTCCCTCGCATGCTGGCATGGGAAGTGTCCTGCTTAGCAGCAGCAATTGAATTTTTCCAGTCCTGATACTATCAAATTCTTGTTGTGTTTCACAGTACAAGGGGTATGTGTTAAATCTATTTTGAAAGCATTCTAAAGGGATGAGCACAGACTCTTTTTAGCTCAGCAATGTTTATGCAGTATTAAGAGAAAAACCAAGTAATGTTTTTCTTCCCTTGTTTTTAAGGAAACATGATATGTGAGCGGTGGAACAATGCTTTGTTTCAGGAAATGTTATCCATTTCCATTGTAGGGTAGATGGACTCTGTTTTTAAATGTGGCATTTTAAAAAGAACAAACTCTATGATGTTATAAAGACATGGAAAATTGATTCTTTGGTAGGGGTGGAGAAAGTGATTATCACTGTGTGTTTTCTCTGATAGTATCTGATAGTCCCCTTCTCTCCTGCTATATTCAGCATGTTTAGTTGTCAGGCGTTGTCAGACTAAATTGCTAAAAATAACAAATAAGGGGGAGGCTCTGCTGGGCAGCTCTGTCTACAGTGTGCCACTGAATTTAGCTCCTTTGTGAAAAGGGCAAAAGGAACCTGCAGCTTTCTGGCTGAATTGGATTTTGGTTTTAAACTCTGATCACAACAATGTGGTGTGCTTGTTTCCCAGGCAGTTTTTTCTTACGTGTCTGGGAGACTGAAAGTTTACTGCTGCAGGATAAAGGGTTGCTTGTTTTCTTCTCCATCTGCTGGAGCCGAAAATGCGATCGGGAAGGCTATACCTAAGTGCTCTATTTCGAATTCAAAAATTCATCATGTGATCCCTAAAATGCCACGTCCAGTTGCCCTGTCTGACATAGAAAACTTCTTTGCTCTTGTTCACAGTGGAGAAATGCGTGCTCCGCTCTCAAAACACCGCTGTGCTCCACATGTAAAAGCTTAGGTAGTGTTGCAGGGCTCCTTCCTGGTAAAGTTAACGAGTGCCCGCACAGCAGTGCCTCCGGGCAAGCAGGAGCCAGAGGTGACAACAGACTTCTTCCCTGGCGCTGCCCGGACACAAATCTGCTTGTGCTGCGGCTTCCCTTTCTGTAATCTTCTTTCTTTAAAATGGCTTTGCCACAGCCCTGGGGTGCAGTGGTGGTGCCCCCTCTTCCCGTCGGCCAGGACGTCGCTGACGGTTGCCACAACAGTGTTTCTGTGCCCCGTGGGAACGAAGTTTTAAGCAGGCGAGGTGTGGCCGGGGAGAAACGCTGGAGCCTGGGAGGTGACGTTTTGCGAGCCGGTCCGGCTGGGACGGGCCTGCCTGACGTGGCCACGCGCCTCCGACGTGCTCCGGCAGCAGCTCCTTGGATGGTCCTTTCGGTTTTTGAAACCGTTAGCATGTACGCCAATTCCGAGGGTGTCTTTAATGATGTGCAAACAAGCCTCTTGAGATTCGCAGCGCGCTCGGCAGACCACGGAGCGACCATCAGAAAGTAGCGATTGTGAGGCCATTCCCACGTTAGACCAATTTCTCCCTGGGATTTACAGCTAGAAGCTCTCATCCCCTGGTTGGCTCAGGATAGGCCGATGCCCAGGAATGTGCGGTGGGCTTTTTAAATAAACAGGGGAAAATAAGGAATGCTCCTGTTTGCTTTGGAGAGGGGAAGCCTCAAGAGTAGCCCTCTGTGCTTTGGCCCAGAGCAGGTTTCACTTTGGGCGAGCGTGCTGTTCTCTCACTCCGTTGCTGGCAAACACGCACGTACTGAGGACGTGATTTTAAAAGCATGTCGTTGCAGAAGCTGCCCCTTGTCTAAATGTGTGCATAGACGAGGTCAGTCCCTGGCTTGGTTTCAGCCCTGTTGGCTTCATGGCCTGGTGGGCTCTGGGCCGGGCTGCCCGGCTCTTGGCGCCGCTC